GAAGACAAAGATTCTCACCACTGGACCAATTGGCAGCATCAGGATGGATGGTGAAGAGATTGAGATTGTACACAGCTTTAAGTTGCTTGGCTCCACAGTCAACAGTCTTGGCACCAGCAGCCAGGAAATTAAAAGGCGCATTGCCATGGGAAAGTCTGCTGTTAGGGACCTCTCCAAAGTACTGAAGAGCAATGTTGTCTCTCTGGAGACCAAGGTGCATCTGACACAGGCCCTGGTCTTCGCAGTCACTTGTTGTGCATCAGAGAGTTGGAGCATGTCACTAGCAGGGGCTATTTATTTGAGAGGGACATTTTGTGTGGAAAAGTAGAGGGAAGATGAAGGAGAGGAAGGCTCTCAACCAGGTGGATTGATATGGTGACTACCACAATTGGCTCTAGTGTGTCAAGAAGTGTGAGGATGGTACAAGATAGGACAGATTTGATCTGTTGTTCACTGGGTACTATTGGTCGTACTCGACTTGATGGTACCTAGCTATAACAACAACAATTGCACAGGTCCCCTAGTTCAATGGCAAAGAGGACAAGAGTCACTTCAGAGCTGTTCTCTATATGTACAAAGAAAATATAGATTTAAAGAGCCAGGGCCAAGAAAAAAACAGTGATCTACCTTTCTTACTTGCTCTTATATCTTTTCCATGGTTTGGGTTTTTTTTTAAAGACTAAGGATTATAAATTTTCTCTGAGATAGAAAAATGACACTGGCTACTTGGTACAAAAAAAATCAAATATAAATCTTAATGTAAATTTAAAATGAAACCTAGCTACGTGAGCCTCCTGCGCTTCTGGTTATTTGCTGCCATCTTAATTGAATAGCTTCATTTTTCAATTAAAAGGATAAAGGTGGAAAACATTTTATGGGCCAGTTAGAAAAAATTATTCACTCTAGCAAATATTTACACCAATACTTGCAAAATATGCATGATTTGTTTATAACAAATATATAAATGTTCAGTGCTGTCACTAAAATTTCAGCTTTAGGAAAGTGAAAATAGTATACAATTACTTACCTCTAAGCCATTTATTTTTGTCATAAATTCTAAATAATCTGTTTCAAATTCTGTCTTTCTTGGATCCAGAATGTCATATTGCTTTTTCTTAACTCCTTGATATATGTTTTTGAATTTTATTGCCAAAATATCTATTCCTTCTATGGTAGAATTACTCAAGGCTGTGTATGTTTGCACAATAGTTATCATTTCTGTAATCTTAAAAGGAAAAGTAATATATTATTTTAAAAATCAGATATTAAAGATAATAACATCCTTCCCTAAGACTTTAAACTCTTAATGAATCATTGACTATAAAAACAAATCAATAAATAGGCTCTGGATTAATTAAGTTAAAACCTACCAAAGAAAATAAATTAAGACTATCCAATTCTGTTCCTAGTGACTACTAATCTTACACTATGAAAGATAATGTTCTATCACATCTAGATAGAGATCAAAGTCTCTGGCCTCTTCTGGAATATAATTATGTTGGAGAGAGAAAGAAGAGACTAAGAAGAGAGAAAGTGAGAGACCTGAACGCAAGTATCTAAACAAGTATCTGAATTAAAGAGGTTTACTGCTTTTCTTAGTCCTGATTGTATTTCACATATGTTAAAGCGCAACCCAAATCTACTTTTGTTCCCTCTGTAAAATCTGCAAGGAGCCTATGGAGCTACCTTGAAATCAGAAGTAGATGGTGCCTGACTGCTACCCTAGAAGATTCTGGACAGAGAAGTGGAAGAAATATAGAAGGAAATTTAAACTCATATTTAAAAGGTCAGACTCACTAGAAGAGACTAGAGAAGCAACAGAATAGACCTATAAAATGAATACTACTATTCATGAGGGAAGCAATCTTCAGAATAATCAACCATTGGAGACCAAAAAGATCAACAAAAACAAAGTTCAGAAGGTAGGAAGACAGGAGTAAATAGGAATGGGAAACCCAGGAAGGAAGGAAGAAGATGTCGTTACATGGAGGGGAATGCAATTGATGACACAAAACAAAAAAATACACAAATTGTTGACTGGAAAATAAATTTGCAAAGCTTTCAACCAAATGACATTTTTTTAAAGGCTATGGGTTTGTTCTAATGTAGCCCATGGGTTTACTGTGTATATAAATAGCTCAGTGGCACCTAAGAATAGTAACAATGACAAAATCAGGACTATTAGAATCTGACTAGTGAACCAAAAAAACAAAGAGAATACTCAGTTCGATAGAGTGATACAATATCCACACAATAAACTCAAACGTAGCAATGACCATTAAAATGGTGCAGAACAACATGTCCCAAAATAAAGCAAATACAGATAGATTCGGGGGGGGGGTGGAGATAGTAAAGGGCAAGGTACCATTTCATTCTCCTTCCATGTCATAAGTCAAAGCTGACCAGATAGCAACAAACAACACCACAACCTGCCCTGGTTAAGTTCCATGTGGACTTACTTAATTTCTGAAATAAATGTACCAATATCTTCTACATTAAAATAATGTTTCATGTCCACATACCACCCAGTTCCCTGGCCTTCATCACTGACCCTTATCTTCATTACTTATTTGAAGAACAAAGCTCAAAAAAGAATGCTGGCTCATTTACCCAATGGTCAAACAGAACCAACTTGTTCTTAGGCAAGTTTTCTAAACACTGCATACCATGAAGGCAACATAACTGGTCTTTCTCCACAACATCAGAATTCATGTCAAGTCCCTGTGTACATCAACCAGGAAAAGCAGATTTCAGTACATTTATATACACTGGGGGGGAAAAAAAACCACTGTCATTCACTCCAGACCTAAAGAAAATACAGGGGCCACTCAGCGCATCTAGAACATGCCTCATGCGCTCTAAGAGCCTTGGTGCTGCTGTGGTTAAAACACTCAACTTCTAACCAAAAGGTCAGAGGTTAAATCTATTGCTTCCAAATGCTAAAAATCCCTAGCTATTAAAGAGATGAAAATCAAAACAGGTATAAAACACTATCTCACCTCAGCAACATTAGCAAAGTTAAACAAACACCAAATGCTGGTGAGGTTGTAGAGAAATTGGAACTAGGAAGGCTTGTCTGGTGCTTTCTCAAAGAGTAGGAAACAGATATACCATTTGATCCAGCAATTACACTACTGGGAACATACTCTAAAAAAAAACCACAGAACTACTTCTCTAACAGATATATGCACATCTATGTTTATTGCTGCATTATTCACAATAGCAAAGAGATAAAAGCAACTCAAATGTCCAACAAACGAACAACAAGAAATGAATGGACATGCAAACTATGGTACATTCTCACAATGGAATAGTATGCAGCACTGAAAAACAACAAACTAATAAAGCATTACTCAACATGGCGGGAACCTGGAGGATATTATGCTAAGTGAAATATCTCAGTCACAAAAGGACGAATACCGTATAACACTGCTGTTATAAAATAGGACACATAGGGGTGGATTGAGCAGAGAATGGGCAAAGAGTGGCTAGATAATGAACACTACAGTAGAACAGATGAGGGGAAGAACTGTCCCAAAAGGAATATATGATTAGGTATTGTATTTATGACAATTACCTAGAACAGGAAATGCATTGTTAGGTGAGGAAAGGAGGGGAGAAAATAGCAAAGAAAAAAATCAGCTGCTTCCCATACTGTCCCAATAAATAAGGCAAATTTGAAGAACATTCTAAACCATGCCTGCTCAGCAAAGGCATCCAGGCAATATTTATGTGTAATTGTATAGAAAGAAAAGGTGTTTAAACACTGGATAATCTACAGCTACAAGGCTCTGTCAGTACTGCAGGTGTTTCAGGCTAACAGAATGGTTAAGTGCAGAGGTCAAGTTCTAGTTTTATAGCTGCAGGTAGAATTGAGGTCTTGAGAGAGGTAATAGTGTGTAACTGGCAAAAGGCTGTAAATGAAAAAAAAGGCTGTAGGAATAAAAAAAATCAAGCTACAAGCATATCTCATGCTACTGCACTTTGCCTTACTGTACTTCAAAGGTACTGTTTTTCATAAATTGAAGGTCTGTGGCTTTTTTTTTAAAAGAAATTGACAGTTGGCACCACTTTCCTGAGTACATGTTCACTTCTTATCTCTATGTCACATTTTGCTAACTCTTGTAACATTTCATATTTTTTCATAATGTTATTGCACACTTACTAGGTTTAATAGTGTAAACATAGCTTTTATATGCATTAGGAATCAAAATGTTTGTCTGATCTAATTTATTGTGGTGACCAGGTCTAAATCCACAATATCATTGGGGTATGTCTCTGAAATTAAATGCAGTGATCTGAAGCTAATATCAGTTGTATTAATCATGAGGTAAGTGGTCCAGAAAGTAAGTCTTAAAAGTGCAATATAAAGTATGATATAACCAAAACTGTGTGGTGAAAATGGGGTAAAGTGACATAATTCTTACCTTCTCCAGTCTCTTACAGAAAGCTTCAAATTTCCCAAATATATACATTTCTGAAACCTCAAAAGATTTTTCCCCTGAGGATTCTAAAATAAGTTTCTTTGTTTTGTGAAAAGATGACTGATATTCCTTGAATAGGAAAATGCAATCCTAGAAGAAGATTAAAAGAAGTGGGGGTGGGGGTGGTTGATAAGACATTTGTTAAGAAACCATTAAAAAAATTCTTTCTCACAAAAACAGAGAGCTAAATCTTTTCAGCCCCTAAAAGCCTCCTCTGATGTTGTTAATGATAAAACTTCAAGTTCTTATACACTGATGGATTGGTATAAATCAAAAGAAAATAGTTTGAAAATTTAAATACTATTTTCATTTTCTTCTGTCTCACTACCTTCTCTTACCTCTCCCTAAATCTTACCCTATATCCAGGGCCAATGATAGTGTGTATGACAGACTCAAACCACTGCCAATGTGTTCATTCCAGCCACGTAGAACTGCCCTCAAGTTTTCCAGGGCTGTAAATCCTCACAGAAGCAGACTGCTTCATCTTTTCTCTAAGGAGTCGCAGATGACCCCTTTGACTCTATGGAGTGGGTTTGAACAACTGACCTTTCAGTTAGCAGCCAAGTGTCAGCAGGGCTACTGTATATGATATCCACAAAAATATTTGTTTTGCATTTTTTGTGGTTAATTAAATTTCCAGAAGGACTCAAAATTATCTATCCATACATCTCCATTCAATTGCACAAAAACATTAAGAGTTTGCAAAACTAAAGCATCATCTCAATTCTTAAGTCTCCGCAGAATATCATAAAGTCTGAGAAGCACACTGCTTAAATCCTAGTTATGTCACTGTCCAATTCTGCCAGGCCAGTAAAGTTATTTAAAAGAATAAAAAGAATAAAATCTCTTGAGGTCAAGTAGCATTCGCTGTCCTGTCTAGCTAATATTTCCTAAGAATCAAGCCATTTTTAAGAATAACATATGAAACTTTTTCAAAGTCAGCAATAGCCAGCTGAGTCTTTCAAATGACGCTCTCTCTTCTAATTCTCCCACCTCCCTCTTCTACATTTGAAGGCTCAACCATAGTCTATAACACTTAACAACCACAGCAACGAACAAGAGCCTTGTGGAGTAGTGATAAACATGTTAGCTAAGCACATAGCTGGGGGGTTAAATTGACCAGTCTCTCCAAGGGAGAAAGATGGACAGTCTCCTCAAAGATTTATAGCCTCAGAAACCCTGCCCACAGAGCAGCCAAGAACGGAAATCAATTAAACAGCAGTTGGTTTGGGGGTTTTGAGGTTTGTGGTTATTCTGGTGCCACAGGAAAATCTCCTTAAAGTTATCTGACTAATGACATTACATCCATTTGCTAGCCTTAATTTACCTTGTCATGCAACACAACACATTCACAGTTTCCATGGTTTAGCACACAGACAGGAGAGGGAGACGAGTCATAGGCAACTCAAGAGCACATGTCAACACGACAACTCACAACACAAAATCCAAATTTTAGAGTGAGATTCAGTAATCTATATGTTAAATAACTTCTCTTAGTTATTACAATAAATATTCAGATTTGAGAGCCACTCATCTCAAAATTCTTAGGTCTGTGTAGACCAAGAGATTGTTATTCAAACAGAACAAGAGGATACACTACTTCAAATCTGGAAGGTGTGTGTCAGGGTTGTATCTTTCACCATGTGTATTTAATTTGTATACTGAGTAAATAATCCAAGAAGCTGAACATGGAATCAGGATTAGAGGAAGACTTATTAGCAGCCCACTGCTATACCCTTTCTTGCTGAACGTGAAGAGGACTTGAAATATTTAATGATAAAGATCAAAGAGTATAAGTATGGAAAAGATTTCAACATAAAGAAAACAAAAATTCTCACAACTAAAACTAGAAACAGAACTATCTTAATCTAATCTAAAGGAGCTCTGAGGCTATGGTTTATAGTGTCTTGAGCTGCTAACCAAAAGGCTGCCTGTCTCCAACAGTTTGAGTCTACCAGTGGCTCTGAGAGGAAAAGATGGGCAATCTCCCTCCACCTCTCATTTAGATTTTTTTTTCACTTTTGGAAACTTTTATTTAGAGCATTTTACACCCAGATGGTGGTTTGCTACAGAGTTTATAAAATTTTTCACACTATCCTTCATTAAAGAATGGGGGGGGGGGAAGAGTTACAGCCTTGCAAACCCTATAGATGGTCGATGTGAGACAGAATCAACTCTCTGGAAGTAAGAATCTGATCAAATATAGATATATGTTAATATATATCTATATATATTAAATTGTCCACTGCTGCAGACTAAATGGGAAAATGTTAAAAAAAAAATTCTTTTCCAAAATAGGATCAAAATGAGGATGCCAAGAACATTACTTCTATTTAACAATGGATGGCAGTGCTACCCAAAATAAAAAGCAGGAAGTAAAATGAATGTCTGAAATAAGAGTTAAGGCATAAAGACACATGAAATGGTACACAACAGATGCCTAATATAAGCAGTTAGGGAGAGGAGGACCATTTCCTAAAAGGAATTCTCAATGTAAAGGGAAACACACTTCCAATGACATTCTTTTAGTTGGTGTTGTTGTGTACCATCAATACAGAACTGACCCATAGTTTTCAGAGGCAGTTTAATCATATGGAAAGAGACTGTCCACCTTCCATCCACTGAGCAGACAATGGATCTGAACGGTGTGCCTTTAGGATTGCAGAGCAGTTCCTTACCGTAAGTCCACCAGAATCTCATATTCTTTTGCATGATGTTCACAAAACACAAACATGTGCTTTGTAAATGAAGAAAACAAAAGAAGGCCAGCATATGAAAGCTTTCTTGATACAAACCTGAATTTTCTTTAACACAATTGGAGTTTCCTGATCCCATACATGGCTCAATCCTCCATCTGTGATATAAGCTTTACACGCCGTCACCATTTGATTGGTAACCTAGAACAAACATAAGCACAAAATTATCACAAGTAAAAGAAAAATAAAATATAATTTTCTAATTACAGGAATAAAAATATGGTAGGGATGTTTAAACAATAATCCTGATATGTTAAAAAAAACCACGAAAACACATGTTGTTGTTGTTATGTGCCATCGAGTCGCTTGCGACTCATAGTGACCCTATGTACAAGAGCTCTAAATGCTGTTCTATCCTGTGCCAACCTAGCCATCTCAAATGCACTTATTCCCACCGCGCCAGTCACAGAATAGATCCATCTAACCAAAGATGTTCTTCTCCTTCGCTTCCCCTCCACTCTGCAAAACATGATGTCCCTTTCCAAGGACCAGTCCCTCCTTGCAACATGCCCAAAATATGTCAGACGAAGCTTTAGAATTCTTGACTCCAGGGAACACTCTGGCTTCACCCTCTCCAGGACAAACCTGTTTGTTCTCCTAGTAGTCCACGGTATATTCAACACTCTTGTCCAGCACCACAGCTCAAAGGCATCAATCCTCTTTCTATGAGCACTATTCACTGTCCAACTCTCTGATGCATAGCACATAACTGCGAAGACTATAGCCCGGATCAGGGGCACCTTAGTCTCCAGCCTGACATCGTTGCTCTTCAGTACTCTTGAGAGGTCCGTCACAGCCGACTTTCCCAATGCAATTCGTCTCCTGATTTCCTGGCTGCTGTTACCAAGAGCGTTGACTGTGGAGCCAAGTAAATTAAAACTGTTAAACTATCTCAATCTCCTCATCACCCATGCTGATACTACCAATTGGCCCAGTGGTTATAATCTTTGTTTTCTTGACATTTAGCTTCAGTCCATATAGGAGGCTGTAGTCCTGGATCTTCTGCAGCAAGCACCTCAGTCCTCCTCAGTTTCAGCAAGCAGAGTTGTGTCATCTGCATAACGCAGGTTGTTAATGATTCTTCCACCAATCCTGATTCCACATTCCTCTTCGTACAGCCCAGCATCTCGGATGATCTGTTCTGCATACAGACTGAAAAGGTATGGAGACAGAATACATCCCTGATGGATCGCCTTCTTGATTTTGAACCATGTAGTGTCTCCTTGCTCTGTTCTGACCACTGCCTCCTGGTCCAAGTATAGGTTTCGCATTAGCACAATCAAATGTTCTGGGATTCCCATTCTTCT